GAGAAAAAAAATTATCCAATCTAAACCAACTCATAAATCTAACTTGCTAAAAAATAAACCGAGTAAGAAAAAGAAAATAGTGAGGAATAAAATTAGTAAGAAGAAAACATCTCCTTCTTTGCATAGAGATATAATTAAATAAAAACCTTGACACGGAAGAACAGAAAGATAATAAAATTTACGAAATTTTTTGGATCGAATTAAATAAGCCAAAAAAGAATAAAGAATATTCTTAACAAACTATATGTAACAATATGCTAAGGTGATAAGTTATTAATATTCTCATTTAACCAACAAAACTAATTTAAGCATAATTATGGGTTATTTATACCAAGAAATCGAAAAGAAATGGCAAGAATACTGAACTAAAAATCAAACTTTCTTTACTAGCCTAATTGATAAATCAAAACCGAAAAAATACATTTTAGCTATGTTTCCTTATCCCTCTGGGAGTGGTTTACATGTCGGACATATCCGTAATTATACTATTACTGACGCTTTAGCCCGTTTCTATCGCTTACAAGGCTATAATGTGTTAATGACGATTGGGTGAGACGCCTTTGGTTTGCCAGCTGAACAATATGCTATCCAAACTAATAATCACCCAGCGACTTTCACCCAAAAAAATATTGAAAACTTTAAGCAACAATTACTAAGAATAGGATTTTCTTATGATTGAAGTAAAGAAATCAATACCAGCGAACCGGCTTATTATCATTGAACTCAGTGAATTTTTGGTCAAATTTATCAACAAGGGTTAGCTGAACACCGCAAAATTCCGGTTTATTGATGTGAAAAATTGGGAACAGTTTTAGCCAATGAAGAGATCAAAAATGTAGAAGGAGAGAAAGTTTCTGAAAGAGGAAATTTCCCAGTAATAGAAAAAAAAATCCCGCAGTGAGTTTTAAAAATTACTCAATATGCTCCACAACTGCTTGATGGTTTAAAAGATTTGGACTGACCTACAAGCATTAAAAGTTTACAAAAAAATTGGATTGGTTTGTCACAAGGAACGTTAATCGATTTCTGGTCAATTGATAAGTCTGAGAAAATAACTGTTTTTACCACTCGCCCTGATACTATTTATGGCGTTGCGGCAATTGCTTTATCGATTAATCACCCTTTAATTAGGGAAATTACTTTGCCCGAATATAAACAAAAAGTAACTGATTTTTGCGAATATTGGAAGGATAAAAAAGAAAGTAAAGAAATCGCCGGAGAATTTACCGGTAGTTATTGCCTTAACCCACTCAATGAGGAAAAAATACCAGTTTGAATAACCAATTTTGTCATTAGTGATTATGGCACCGGAGCAGTAATGATTGCTCCTCTTCTTTCGTGAGAAGACCCTAATTCACGAAGTCGTCCAGACTATCCATCAGAAGTTTCTCCGTTATTTACCAAGCAAGAAAGCAAACAAAATTGGGAAGTGGATTTTGCTTTTGCTAAAAAATACTGTCTGCCAACCAAAGGACTTATTTTTATCCACTTTGGAATGTATGCTATGTGGATGGATGGTTCTTGCGGACCACCGCCCGGTGTATATACTAATTCGCCCCTAATTGATGGACTAAAAAATAAAGAAAAAGCCATCATTCTCATTAATCGAGAGTTAAAAAAAAAGCAAGTGGGTAAAAAAACTAAAACTTATCACTTAAGGGACTGAGTTTTTTCCCGTCAGCGTTATTGAGGAGAGCCTATTCCAGTTATTCATTGAGAAAATACCACCCAAACCCTTTTGTCAGAAAATGAATTACCTCTTGAATTGCCACCGCTCAAAGACTTTGCTCCTAATCCTAACTATTATGCTCCTCTACAAAAAGTTGAAAACTGAGTAAATGTTGAAAAAAATGGACTAAAAGGGAAAAGGGATACTAATGTTATGCCCCAATGAGCCGGTTCTTGTTGATATTACATTGCTTTTTTATTAAGGAAAAAAGACAGTTATTTAGCACTTAATAATAAAGAAGCCCAAGAAATTATAAAGTATTGATTACCAGTAGATATTTATATTGGTGGACAAGAACACGCCAATTTACATTTATTATATGCTAGATTTTGACACAAAGTTTTATATAAATTAGGAATAGTTAAATGTTCCGAACCTTTTCAAAAATTACTTTGCCAAGGAATGATTTTAGGACCAGATGGCGAAAAAATGTCGAAATCGCGGGGGAATATTATTAATCCTGAGGAACTACTAGAAAAATACGGAGCTGACGCACTAAGGCTTTATGAAGTATTTATAGGACCTTCAGAACAAACGACTAGTTTTGACCCTCGTGGAGTTCGTGCTATGAAAAAGTGGTTAGATAGAGTTTACAAATTTTTTATTGATTATCGTGAAGTTGCTTTAACCGATATTTCTAATAAAGAAATTGAAAAAGAATATTATGAAATGGTGATAAAAACCACTGAATACTATCAAAATGTTAAACTAAATTTAGTAGTCTCCTCCTTGATGAGTTTTATCAATAAATGTTATAAGGTCGAAACTAAGTACATATCTAGAGAGTTTTTTCTAGGATTTTTAAAAGTTTTAAGCCCAATCGCACCCCATATTAGTGAAGAAATGTGAAATTATTTTGGAGAGTTTAAAGGCAAAAAAACTTCTATCAGCAAAAGCAGTTGACCTCACACTGACCACTTATTAATAAGCATTCCTACAAAAGTAAATATTGTAGTGCAAGTTAATGGCCAAAAAAAAGTGGTGGTTCTAGCAAATAAAGACATAAAGCAAATTGAAATAGAAACCCTGGCCAAAAATAACCCTAAAATAAAAAAAATATTGGGCGAGAAAAAAATTAGCAAAACAATTTTTATAAAAAATAAATTAATTAATTTAGTTACTAACTAATTACTTCGAGCAGAACCAACCAATTCCTATTATAATCCAATCACTACTTTACCGTGGCTGTGAAACAAAGTTATCTCTACGACGAACCTAAATTAATTATTACTTGATATAAAACTTTTTGAAAAATAAACTAAACAATTCAGGGAAAAATTTAAAAAAGTTATTTATTCTTTTCCTAATTACTAGGAGGAGATGGATCATTTTTACTGTGATCCTCATGGCAAAATAATTGATTAAATCTAGTTCGATCAAATACCACCATTCACACTAAAGAGATTACTATAACTAGCAAGAATATTTTCATCACAGTTGCAAAAAGACGCTCTATAACATAACTTAAAAAATATACTATAAAAATAGTTAACAAGAAAGCCAGCAAATGATGGGCTTGTATTTTAGTTGTGTCTTCAAAAAGAAATTTCCACCCTTCTTTAACTCAATCTTTAAGTTTGCTTAGATATTTTCCTAAATTTTCCATTTTATTTATTTTTAAAGAAGTTTGCTTAAATACAACATCTTATAATGTAGATATAATAAAACTAACTATATAATATAAATTATTTTTAAATTTTGGCAGAAAACAATAATACTTATCAGTCTATTCAAAAATTAGCTGAACGGGAAGGAGTAACAGAAGAAAAAATAAAAGAAATAATAATAAATTCCATTCGCAAAACTTATTATAAAAAAGAGAATGATAAAGTTGACCTACATATTGAATTCGACAAAACTCTATTAGTTTATCGCAAATACAAGGTAGTTCCGGAAGTTGGGGATTCAGAAAGAGAAATAACAATCGATAGTAATCTATTGAAAAAGGGGAAAATAAAAGATAATTTTTTTTACTTGCCTCTCGATATCAGAAGTTTTTCGCTTTCACTTAACTATGAAATTAAGAAGCAACTGCAAAAAGACTTGGAAATAATCCAGGAAGAAAAACAATATAATTTTTTTAAACCCTTTGAAGGGCAATTAGTGCGAGGTAGCATTCAAAACGTTCAGGAAAATTACTACCTAGTAAATCTAGGAAAGGGGATGGGCCACTGAGACAAAAGCGAATGAACATTATCTGAAAAGCCACGTCTAGGTCAAAACTTGTATTTCTTGGTTAAAGAAGCAAGAGCAAAAACAGAAAAGAGTGCACCACAAGTTATTCTAACTCGTTATGGTAACTTATTTCTAACTAGACTACTAGAACTAGAAATACCCGAGATAAAGGAAGGAATGATTGCCATCCGTCATATCTTAAGGTTGCCGGGGTTAGTAAGCAAAGTAATAGTAGAAAGCAAAAAATGAGGTATTGAACCACTAGGAACTTGTATTGGAAAAGGTGCTGAAAGAATAAAGACTCTTTCTCGTTTAGTTTATCCCGAGCGAATAGATTTAGCTACCTGAACAGAAAATAAAAAACAGTTGCTTTTTAACTTATTGTCGCCAGTCAAACCTCTAAAACTAACTATTAAAAAAACCGGAGAATGAGAAATTGTTATCCCTCAACAAAAAGCCTCTCTACTTTTGCAGCATGAAGGAAAAATACTAAAAAAAATTAGCGAGTATTTAGAAGTAAATATTCATGCAGTAATATTGGAAGAAATTGAAAAAAACGAGGTTCTAGCAAATAAAGGACGAATTTTTCAAGAAGTTGGTAGTTATAAAAATATTGAAGTGCAGATAGTGGAAGAAATTGAAAAATAAAATTTCAATTAATATGAAAAAAAGTCACAACGAAAATAATGATTTGTTTTTGAAAATTATTCGCCAAAAAACTTCCACTAAGAATAATTATTTTAAAAATAATCGTCTTCATCTTGCAGCGGAAAATGTAACCGTAACTGAGTTAGGGGAAATACTAAAGAAGCCAATCAGTGAAATTATCGCCTTTTTTTGAAACAAAGGACAAGTTATAAGTAAAAATCAAACTCTGTCTTTTGACCTGCTCAAAGATTATTGCAAGAGTATAAACATAGAAATAAAAAGAAATGACGAAATAAATTTCGGAGAGATTACTAGTGAGTATTTGCAAAAATTGGATGATAATAGTCAATTAGTTGAACGTCCTCCTATTGTTAGTATTATGGGTCATATCGATCACGGTAAAACCACCCTTTTGGACACTATTCGTCAAACTAACTTCCAGGTCAAGGAAGTTGGAGGAATAACCCAAAAAATTACTGCTTCACAAATAGCTTTTCAGGACAAGAAAATTACTTTTTTAGATACTCCGGGTCATAGCGACTTTATCAAAATGAGACAACGGGGAATTTCTCTAACTGATATAGTAGTGCTAGTAATTGATGCCAGTGATGGAATAATGTTTCAAACAGAAGAGATTATTGATTACCTTCACAAGTATCAAATACCAGTCATTGTCTTTATTAATCACAAAAAGCCTGAACAAACCGATAATGAAACCAATCTAAATAGGATTAGAACGCAGCTGCAAGAAAAAGGTTTAACTCCATTAGAATGAGAAGGAGAAACAATCATTATTTCTGGAAGTGCTAAAAAAAAAGAAAGCGTTAATAATTTGCTAGAAAATATTTTACTGGTGGCTGATTGTAAGTCTAATTTACAGCATCCAACCAACGGGGTAGTAATTGATCATTATCTTCATTCAAAAACCGGTTCGGCAGTAACAGAATTACTAGTCCAAGAGGGCAAGGTCAATGAAAAAGATACTATTTTTCTCAACGGAAAATTTAGCAAAGTAAAAATGATATATGATTTATATGGCAAAAAAATAGAAACGGCTTTTCCTAGCGATCCAGTCAAAATCATTGGCTTAACTTCCTCAACTGAATTAGGAGATAGATTTTTAGTAATAAATGACGATAACATCGTAAAAACTCTTGAAAAAGAGTTAATCCCTTACCAAGAAAAAAAAACTAAAATCGCCCCTCCGCCAGTTACTAAAGAAAAAAATAATATTAATTTAGTTTTGTTAGCTGACAGCCAAAATCGACTTGAAGCCCTCACAGAAATGGTTAAAAAAAAAACTTCTTCTAAGGGAGGTTTTTGAATAATTCATCGAGCAATAGGGAAATTGAATGACTCGACCATTGATTTAATTACATTTACTCATAGTTTAGTCTTGTCCTTTGGCCTACAACTCAATCAAGAGCAAGCCAAAACTTTTAAAGAAAATAATATTTCTTTTTTTAGTAGCAATATCATCCACGAAATTACTGCTAAAATAGAAGAAATTATTAGCACCCAACAAGAAGAAATAGAAGAGATAGAGGAAATAGTAGGAACAGCACTAGTAAAAGTAGTCTTTGAATTTTCCAAGGGTAACATTGCCGGTTGTCAAGTAATCAGTGGCAAGATTAGCCGTAGCAATAAACGCGTTTATGTTCTACGAGGAAAAGAAGAAAACAAAGTTTTTGTCGGCGAAATTAAAAGTTTAGAAAGTAATAAAGTAGAGAAAAACGAAGTCAGCAGCAATCAAGAATGCGGAATTGTCCTGAAAGGATTTGACAAATTCCAAACAGGAGATAAAATAGTCGCCTTTCAATTAGTAAAAAAAAATGTTAATCAAACCTAATTATTTTTTGCAAAGAAGAGAAAACTTATACAAAAAAGAGATCAGCCACATTTTACACAAAATTGCTCAAGCAAATTACTTACCCTCTTTCTCATTAAGTTATTGCCTTTTAAAAGGAGGAGAAAATTTAAAGATTTATTTGAATTTTGCCAAAAAAGAAGGCAGGGAAGAATTACTAGAATTAATGAACAAAAAATACTCTTTAATAATAAAAAAAGAAATCGCCCAAGGAAAAAAGTTTGCCTATGTTCCCAAACTTAAATTCTTTTTGGACAAAAGACTAGAATCGATAAGCACTCTCGAAGAAATCATCCAAAAAATTAAATAAAAATGACGAATCCTGAATTAATCAAACTTTTTCCTATAACTCTTTTTTTTGCTTTCTTACTAGTTTCTTTTCTCTTGAATTATGTCTCGGCCTTATATTCTGAAGCAGATTTATTCAAAATAGATTTAACTAAAAGAAGAAAAAGCAAAAAAATTAAAAAATTGCTTTTTGTTTTAAAAAATGGTCAATTACTTTCAGCAACCATTAGTTTCTCGCAAGTATTTATCAATTTTTCTATGACATTGTTGGCTGCAAGAATGCTAAAAGAAAACAAGAAATATTGAGAAAAAATCCCAAAAGAAAAAGGATTTTTTCTTTTCTCAGTAAGTCTATTTATCGCTCTTTTTACTGAAATATTCGTGCGCTTTCTAACTACAAAAAAATTTAGCAAAAGAATGGTTCTTAATCCCCATTTTATAAATTTTGCTTACTTTATAAGTCGTCTAAGTTTTTTTCAATTCATAATCAAACCAAGGAAAAGAGTTTTTGTTAACTCTGAAAGTGATGTTTCTCTTTTTGTCAGCAATTTAGCCGCCGAGAAAATTTTAGAACAAAAAGAAGCTAAACTTATCAAAGCTGCCCTTAATTTTGACGAAATTAAAGTCCGTCAAATATTAACAAAATGAGAGAACGTAATTTGCCTTGAAAATAGCCTTGATTATGAAGAGTTGAAAAGAATTTATTTAAAGCATTTCCTTGATCGTTACCCGGTTATTAACAAAAAAAAGCAGTTAGTTGGTATTTTCAGTATGAAAATGTTTTTTAGAGAAGGACTATTAAAAAACAAAAATTCTACTTGACAAGATCACATTAATAAAGAATTTATCACTGCCCGAGCCCATGAAAAATTAGATAAAGTCTTTGAAAAATTACAAAATAATTATTGTTATTTAGCAATTGTTAAAAGTGGTAAGAATATCCTAGGAATCATTACTTTGCAAGACATTCTTAATGCTTTAGTTGGAAAAATGAAAGATGAAAAAGATAAAATTAAGTAAATCTTCCGACCCGCTCGCTAACTAATTTCTTAGCCCTTAAACAATCTTCTCAAGAAGCAAAATCATTAAAAAGGCATCAATTAAGAAAATTTCTCTTGGAAGGAATTTTTATTTGCTCATCAAAAAATTCAATGGTTCTAATAACTTGGTGATTTTTTTTAGCGAAATCTTCGAGATCTAAATCGCCTTCTAGGTAATCTTTTATCATAAAACCAGGACTATTTTCTAAGTAATTATAATCTCCTAAATCAATTAGAGTACCATTATTAGCAATGGATAAACTTTCTTGATAATAATAGTAATGTTTAAAATTGGCTGCTCTTTTTTCAATACCATTTATTTCGGTTCAAAAATTAGCAAATTCTCCTTGCCTATCACTTATTATATTCTTAACAAATCACAACAAAACAAACCAATGAAAGAGGTTATAACTACCTTGCATTACTAATTGCATAAGGTTTCTTATTGGCATACTACTAGTAATTAATGTTTGATAAGCTTTCGCAAATCCTTCGGGTGAACCTTCAAGAGCATTATCGTGAAACGCTTGTAAACTTCCGATAACCAGTGGAATAACAAAAATAACAATAGTTGAATAAAGTATTATCTTACGAACATACTGGTCTTTTCAGGAAAAAAAATATTCACCTTGGAGACCCTTTTTATCCTTCTGCCAAGGAAATAACTCTCAACTATTAAAGATAATAACCAACGAAGTCAAAATTAACGTAAAAATACTAACAAATGATGCGGTCAGTAAACAAGCATAAGCAATATGAATAAGAGTATTAATAATAAATATTCATTTATTATGAAGATAAAATTTATTATTTTCGATATATCTATCCTTTTTTCACAGATATCTATTAACTTGGAAAGAAATAAAATTTAAAATAATTATCGCCATAATAAAATAAACAGCATAATTTAAAATTTTGCTCTTTTCCACTACGCTTTCTCCTCCTAGGAAATACTGGTTAAAATTTTTCCCTCTACCTACTACTAGACCATAAATCTTCCCCAAAATATCTGTTTCAAAACCCTTTTTTCCTAAAAAGACAAACAAAAAAGCAAAAATAGTCCAAAAAAAAGTGTCAAATAACCCTCTCCAACGAAAGAACCACGAATAATGTGACAAATTAGTTTTTTTTAGTTTATTTTTACTAATCATATATTAAGGAAACTTTAAATGTGCCTATTCCTTTTATAACTTAATCAAACTAGCAAATATTAATTCTTAACCTTATCAAATTTTATTCCTTAACCTCTTCCTCCTCTTGACCAGGTAATAATTTTCGGTCCTTGAGAATCATTCAAGTTAAGATTAGTAAAACTCCTACTGATAGAGTTCCTAATCCAATATTTATGTAATGAGCATGGTTTAATTTAGTTTGTAGCTCATTAAATTTATCATTAACTAATTTGTTTCTAGAAAGTTCTACATCTCGGGCACTAGCCGCAGCACCTAATTTACTGATTTCTCCTTCAGCAACTCCTAAACCTTTTAAACTATCCTCAGCATCCGATACCAAAGATACTTTAGAAATATAACCAGGACCCACCAATTCTCTTATTTTAGCAATAATTTGCGACTGAGTAGCACTAGTTCCTAGACCTAATTCAGATTTTATGGCATCCAAATCATTTTTTGCAGGGGAATTAGGTTTTTCAGAACCTTTAATTATTAAATTATTTTCAAGAGCACTAACATCTACTATTTCTTTCTGACCAGTAGGATCACTAGGGTCACCTATCATTGGTAATTTTCCTGCTGCTCCTAAAATCACATCAACGGCTTCTTTTGCCCCTTTTAATTCTTTTAAGTTATCCGTTCCTGTAAATGAAAGACCCTTAGTATCCTCAAACCCAATTGAATTAAGGCTCTCATCAATATCTTCCCCTCCTTCCATTTTTGTAACTGTTCCGCAATGATTAACTTCTAATTCTTTGAGCCCCTTACAATTTTTAAGGTTAAGTTCATCAAGTACTGGGTTATAATTTCCATAAAACATTTCTAGTGTTTTGTTAGCAACTGGTTTACCAGCAGCATCCAAAGTAAGTTGACTTAGATCTACTTTTTTAGCTTCATTGTTGTTAATATTGAATAACTTCAATTTAGGACAATTACGAACAATTAAACTATCGAGCGAATGAGCTGTAAGATTAATTTCCGTAAGTTCAGTGTACCCCTCAATAACTAAATCACCATCTCATTTATCATTAGCATCTGTAAGAGTATCACCATCTAATTCTATTTTTATTCTTGTTTTGTCTCCAAAAAGAGCCTGTAATTGTGTTTGTGCGTTTTTCATAATGTTTTATATTATAATAAATTTTAACATTATTTTTTTATTGATACCTGCTGTTCTATTAATGCTTGAGTGTTTTGTACATATGACTCATTTTCTCCTTTTCACTTATCTATGAATTCCTTTCAATTTCCCTTTGTCCTTTTTAAATACGAGGCCATTGTAATAAAATACCTTATTTCTTCTTGCTGTGTAGGTGTAAGTGCTGCACCCGTTCCTGAACTTCCTGTTGTTTCCTTTTTTACATCTGCTGGGGATTTACTCGGAAACGTATTTTTTCAATTATTCAATTCATTCTTAATCGCATCATAATCAGCTGGTTTCTGATTAGCTGCCAAACCCGGTATCCTAGCCAACTCGGTTTTTCAATTAGCAGGTAAGTCAACTGGCTTTAAATCGCCTGGTTTATGTTTTTCTAGGTCTTCTGGTTTATGCTTCTCTTGATTATTTCTGAGATTATTTAAATCTGTTTGACTGATTACCGTCTTACCCTGTCCATTGGCCGCTTTTTCCAAAGCACTACTGTCCGCGGGATTAATAAAACCAGCATCTTTAGCAGCTTGCTCTAATTTGTTTTTATCGCCAGGACTATTTGGATTAATGTAATCTTTGTACTTTTCTTCTGCATTTTTTACTGCATTGTTTAAATCGTCCCGAGTTGGTCTATTTTTTAGATCATCTAATTTATTTTCCCAATCATTTGGTAAAGGATTATTAGGACTCACTCCTAGCACATTTTTAATTTTTTCAACCGCTTCGATTAACTTAGTTAATTCTGCTTGTTCAATATCCTTTTTGCCTGCACTTTTAACTGGATCATTTTTCGGCTCAGCTACCAAAGCTTCATACTTTTTAGCATCGTCCTTTAATTTCTCTAATTTATCTTTGTCAATTTCACCATTCTCATTCAATAAATCCGGTATGCCAGTTTTAGGATCTTTCAATTTCTCTTTGTTCTGGTTATTCTTTTCTATTTCTGCAATTATCTCTTTCTTAATATCCTCTTTTGGCTTGTTTTCCGTCTTCACTCCTAACTTGTCGGCCACCTCTTTCAAATCATTTTCACTCAACCCCTCCAAAATGTTAGCAATTGGAAGAGTATCTTCACTATTTCAAGTAACTAATTTAAGAAGATTTTTTAGGGATCCAAAACCACCAGTAAACTTAAAAGTTTTTGGATTCTTATGCAAAGAAAGATCTTCTAAAATGTTATTATTGCTAACGTCAATCTCTTCTACTTGGTTTTCACCAAAGTTTAACTCTCTTAATTGAGTCAAATCTTTAAGCCCTTCAATCTTCGTAATCTTATTCCCCGGAACAAAAATCACCTCAATTTTAGGACAACTACCAATAGTTAAAGTAGTTATTTCTTTAGTAAAAGGTAAAAAAATAGCTTCTAAATCAGGATAATCCTTAATCTCCAATCCTCCTTTTAATTCTGTCCCTTCTTTAACTTTTATTTCTTTTACCGCTTCACTATTTTTTTTATTTTCGTAATTTTCTTTAAGTCATTGTTGCACATCTACCATATTTTTTTAAATTTATGTTTTTTGTGTTTATTTTTATATTATTTTCCTAATTGTTATTTGTGGTGGGTACTTCTATATGAGCTTGTAAACTTTGCTGTTGTTTTTCAATTTGCTCAAACTTTGCTGCTCCACGAATACCTTTTAAATAAGTCTTCATTCATTCTTCTCCGCGTGTAAATATTCTCTTAAAGTTTTTCAAACATCATAATAATCTCGATTTTCATTATACTTCACTCCATCATCCTCAACTAGGTTTTGACCCCACTCTTGATCTAAATTTCGATAACCTTCCATGGTGTCCTTAGTGATTGCAGCGATAACTTTAGGTAGCATTTCTTGAGCTACTGTTTTACCAAAGCTTTCAGCAAACATTAAAGCCATCGTGTAATCGGCTGGGTTGGTTTGGTCCTTTTGTTTAACTAAATAATCCCATCTCTCTCAGTCAAATTTAACCCGCAGCAAATGCTTCTTAATTTTTCCTTCGACCGTAGTTTCTGGCATCAATTCAATTTTCTTTTCCTGTAATTTCCATTTAGCTTGTTGTTTAGCGCTAGGTGAAAATGCAGTTTTATCAATATCTGCTTCGCTAACTACTAAATCTTCTGACTTAATTTTATCAGAAATATTTTCTTTAATTCATTTTTCCAACTTATCTTTCTCCGCTTTGCGTGCTTTGGCTATTAAATCATCAAGTTCAACTACATCCGCACTTATTTTTTCGCTTAAATTGACTATTTGTCCTTCCTCAGCGGTGTTTTCCCAAGAACCATATAGATCAGCAAACACTTTTTGCTTAATTACTCCCCACTCGTTTTTATCTAAATTAGTTAAAGACAAGGTTGGTTCTTCTTTGGTTAGAACTTCCTGGACATGTTTGGATAATCACCCTAAATAAAATCTTTCAATAAGTTCTGTCGCATAAACAATCTCATCTCCTTTATAAAGAGCAAGATCACTTAACAAACTTTCTAGTGGTTGAGTTTTTAAATCCTTGACAATGTCATCATCCGAAGCATCACTAGAAAATATTTTTTTCACCTTTGCTTCTGCCCCTTCTTTAATTTTGGCAATTGTGGTTTCATCATTAGTAAAACTTCGAATAAGCATTAATCAATCCTCAGTGTTAGTTCCATCCGAGTAATTTTCGAAGTTTTCCTTAACTTCTTGTTCATTCTCAATCTTTTCGATTGCCTCCTTGGTGCCAGGGTATTCTTTTTTTAATAAATCTAAATATCCTTTGAATTTTTCCTTAATTCCCTCTTTTTTCGAAATTTGAAAAATGGTTCTTTCTTCTGCCAAATCCTTAGCACTTAGCGAAACTGTCGACTGTCCGGTAAGTCCTCTGACCTCAATAGTTTTCTTAGTTTGTTTATATTTACCTATTAAACCATCAAACTCTTTTTTATATTCTTGCCGCTTAGCAATAATGTCTAAGTAAAAAGAGTTATTTTCTTTACTTATCGGCGAATATTTTTCTACTTCCTCTCAACCCTTTCTAATCTTTTCAAGAGTAGATAGTAGTTTAGATCCCGGATTTGTGACTCCTGTAGTTCACTCCTGGGCCTTTTCTGTAGCACAAATACAAGCCACTACTTTAAAGGCTTTTTTCATATTTTCTTCATTATCTAAAGTCAGCTTTTCGTTAATGATAGAAATGAAATCTCCATTGTATTTCTTTTTAAGAGGATCATCGTCAAGTCCAATTCTTTGATAAAAAAGAGTTAATTCTTTTTTAACATTTACTCGTTTAGTTTTTAGAATTTCCTCTTTATACTGGTTAAGTTGAGCAATTAATTCGTTTTTTTTAGTTAACTCATTTTGTAAAAGTTTTAATTTCTCCTCATCAACAGTGGTTGCTTTAGCTATTTGTTGATTTAAATTACTAATAGTATTGTCTTTTTCAGCAAGAGCAGTATCTTTTTTGGCATTATCAGTTTTTAAAGTATCTCTTTCGGTGGCTAAATCTGCTTTACCTTTTTCTAAGGCTGTTATTTTCTCGGTTTGGCTTCAATTGTCCGTTCTTTCTGCTAAATATCTACTAAACTTATTTCTTAAATAGTAGTAATTATATATTAAGGTTGGGATGTCTCCGTTTTGGTAAACATAATTAATATAATATCATATCCCCTCTTTATCGTCAGAATAAAATCATTGAAGCCTTTTTATAAATCATTGTACTTCCTCTAATGTTCGGGTATCTTTAAAAGTTAATAAAAATGGGTCATTTACAATTTTGCCATAATTATCTACTAAATATTTGTTTAATTCGGTGTAGGGTTTCCCTCATGGAGCAGCAATTAATTCCTTTCATGCTTTTAATATTCTTTCGCAATCGTCTTTAAAAGATTGGTTAAGAGATTGGTAATCACTGGCGGTTGCTTCTCTTTTATATGCTTCGGTTTTTAATCCTTTAAAAAAATCTCCCTCAGTTTTAACATCATTATAAGAAGTTAAAGAAATTGGTAAATATTCCATGTCTTTAAACTTCTTTTCTCCGGCTCCCACATATAGCTCCTTTAACTTTTTTAATTTCTCTAATCCTTTCATGCTCGTGTCGTCAGAAATATTTCCTATACTTAACCACTCTAAATTAGGAAAATTAGCACCAACATAATCAAATCTAGGGTCAGAGATTTTATTGCCCCCAAGCCCAAACTGAATTATTTTGTCTTTGTTGGGTATGCTCTGAATAATCTTTAAATAATTTTCGCTGTCTATTCCATTTCCAAAAAGGTGTAATTGTTTTAAATTAACATATTCTTTTAAGTCTAATGCTCCTGTTGGGCTTCCTTGATTTTCAAGTCTAATTTCCTCCGTTCCTTTATTACTTGAATATTTGTTATTTAAAATTTCTTGTAGTGTTGCCATAGTCTTTTAATTTTCGTTTAGATGTTCTCTCCTTAAAATTGCTCCCGAAGTATAAGTAAAAGAGGTGGTTTGGTCTAGGTCTTGTTGGAAGAATTTGTTTAATTTCTGTTGTAATTTTTGTGTGTTTACCATATTTTTTTAAATTGTTCCAAAGGAACTGTTTCTAATCACTACTTAGGAAATTAATCCTTATTCATACCTAACTGGGAGTGATGATGATAAAAGATTATCAAGTATAATTTATGCTAGTTAGATATCTCTTTTGTTTTGACCATAAGCATATTTTGAATTCTAAAAATTTAGTTTCTGACCCTGTTTTTTTTAACTTTTTTAACTTTACAAACAATTAAACCCGTTAATAAATCAACAATGACAGGCATTAGTCAAGAATTATTATTACTAGCAACAACACCACTTAAAACTGTTGGTGTTTGTTTTCATTGATTTAATTGTTTTTGTTTTCCAAAAACTCTCAGATTAATTCTAAACGATTACTACTACCCTTCTTGTAAAGAATACTAGTAATCGTAGTAATCATTGGTTTATAAATTACTAGTATCCATTATTTTCGTTACTGATTTCTTCATAGGCCATTTTATTTATATAGAGTAAATATAACATTATTTCTCTATTTATATAATAAGTTTTATAGTTTATTGTATTCATATTTAATAATAATGAATAAAAAAATAATGAATTTTCCTTTATCTAGACCGTTTTTTTATCACTAGTTAAGAAAAAATAACCTTTAATATTTTACCTAGAAAGTAGAAAAAAAATTAACTGAAAATTTAAGGTATTATAAAATAATCCTTATAAAATAAAAGCTAAAATAACAATGTAAAGAATTATTATCATGCCAAAAGCATTCCCAAGATGGCTATTCATTACCAGTAGTAGAAGAGTCCCGTGCCATTTAGGCACATTCAGAATATCAACAAATTTAGGCTAAACCTAAGTTAAAAATAAATCTTAATGCTTGACTACTAGGCTTAATTAGTAGTGAAAACAAAATAATAAAAACCAAAAAGAATAAATTTCAAAAATATTATGATATACGAAAATAAAAAAGCACAAATAGTAGAAATAAGAGAAATAGAAAATCAAGTAGAAAGCCAAAGTAGGTTAGTAAAAATAGCCGATTTTATAGGAATATCAAAGGTTGAATGTACATTAAAAGAAAGTTCTGGTGGCGGGGGTAGTAGCGGTATTGGTGCTGGAGGAGGTTTTAGAGATGACTCTTGGAAAAGAAAAGGCGGCAGCAGTGGTGGGGTTGGTGCTGGTGGTGGCAAAAATAAAAGTTGGTGCGACAATCCTGGAGATGCTAGAATAGTTGACATGGGTAAGGAAACTACTAAAGAGGCAATACAACACAATACAAGTGAATATAACAAGATGAAACGAGAGGCTAACGAAGATTGTAAAATATTATAAAAGAAGAAATAACAATAAAGAGGGTGAGGCGATAATATATCGCTTCTCCTCTGCCGCGGTTAATTTTTGATATGACATCTATCCTAGAAAAAGAATTATCCAATATCCTAGAAAAAATGCAGTTTAAATGGGACAAAGAGGGCATTACTCTCCCCGAAACCCACGAACTATATTTTGTAGCCAAAGAGAAATATTTATCTTCCAATGAAGAAGCAAAAACACAAAAAGCCAGTGAGTTGATTTTAAAAACTTTTTTCACAGCAGGGAAAATAAGTGAGGATTTTGTTAGAAAATGACAAAATGGGCAACTCAAAACTAATGATAAAGAGTTAGAATTATTAAAAGAAGGTTGCGATGAGGTTTTGTCAGCGTTTGATAGTCATTTTAAAAAAGAGTTAATTACTTATCAGGGAAAGCCTTATAGCATTCATCGTTCCGAAGCAGAGGAAAAAGTTAGGCGAATTAGAAACTTGATACAGAATTATCCAAAGTGAGGTTAGGTCTCTAGTTTATCAAAATTGTCAAAAGAACCTAAAAAATAATATCTCGATACAATAAACAAATTTGCTTTTAAGTCCAGTCCAAAATCTCTTTTGATTAGTTATCAGCCAGCACGAGGAGAATTTGTGCTGGCTAATTTATTAAGAAGAAATTTAAGGATTTTTTTAATAAATTTCTTAATAATTTACTTTAATTACGTCCAATTCAAACTCACAAGCACTATAAACAATGTAAAAATATTATCCGAAGAAGATTTGTGGATTTAAAATAAGAAAATGAATACCTAAACTTAAGATGTCACTAACAATTATAATTATTCTTTCTTTTTAAAAGGAAAACCTAATAAACTTAAAAAATAACTATTTTCTTCACTAGAATTAGATTTAAAAACGATGGTAATTTGTAATCCTTGATTTTTAAAAGTTAAATCATAAGGAACGGTAGGAAAAATATTTAAATCATTTATTCCCACATTATAATTACCCACTCGATCGAATTTCTTGGCTGATATACCTTGAAAATTAGTAATTAGGGGCAAGTTAATATTAATTAATTCAAAAAGAAAATTTCAAGCCTTTTTTTTTCTTAAAGTTACTTTACAACCAATCGGCATCCCTTCCCGCAATTTAAAAGTAGTAATTGAATTACGAGCATAGGTTAAAATTGGTTTTTGCCCGCCCGCAATCTGAATCAAAGCCTTTTCGGTATTGTCTAAAAATTGTTTATTACTAACTGCTTGCCCAATTCCGCAGTTTAAAACAATTTTTTCAATATCCGTAACTTGCATCGGAGAAGTATGCTGAAATTTCTTTTCTACTAATCCTTTAATTTCCTTTCTTTTGGTTCCTCACCAATCATTGACAATAAGCATATATTATTTTTTATTCTTTTTTTCTAATTCACTAGGGAACTTTTTTCTCGATAACTATTTTAAAAATCTTGAACGGGGGGTTCATTCCACTCATTCAGTTCATACTCAGCATTTATTCTTTCTATTTTTTGTTCTTTAGCAAAAATAAATAATTTTTTTAGAAAGATTGAAAAACGAGTAGTATCTCACTTGTTCTTGGTTCATCATTCCGCTTCTTTTATTTTACTTATTTTAGTCTTTGAATAATAACCTTCAGGAGAATTTTCTTCTTCCCATCGCTCTATTTCAGCATATTCACCTCGATCAAAATCAAAACCAAAAATCATCCATTTTTCCATAAATTTTCTAATAGTTTCAAGACTGATTTCGGTTTTTTCTACTTCGTTTTCTCACCAGCATTGGAAACACAATTCGTCTTTGCCCCCATCATCAATAATGAATTCTCTTTTGCATTTATTGCAAAGGTTCCATTCCATAACTTCCTACTTTACAGTTATATTGTACTTTCGAGATTTTCGCACTTTTTTACCCTCTACCTCTTGAAAACCGATTTTAGTAATTTGTTTTTTATCTTCTAATCAATAAGCAACATTGGAAACATGAATAGGTACCATAATTTCCTTTAACTCACTCTTTCTCTTATTTTCCGGGGTTGATTTATCATATTTTTTCTTATTGGCCTTTTTCAAAAAAACTACTTGGTTTTCAGGATCAATTTTGGAAATATAATCAATTACTCCTCGATACTTTCCAGTAATGACTTTTACTACGTCACCACTCTTTAACTTTGATTTTAACATATTTTCATGCATTTAATTAATAATTTTAACGATTCCTAAAGCGATAAGCATCAAAAATAAATATCTTCTCGAAATTCAAACCAAATTAAAATTATTCACCTCCTTTTAAGATCAATTTTTTTTGCCAATTACTAAAAAGGGAAATATTTATAAAACTTCAGGTGCTAGCGAGAAAACTTTTTTGTATCCTCACTCATCAAACTCAGTTAATAAAGGAACAAAAATTCTTGTGCCGATTGGTTCCTTGGTTTCTTTTTTTACCAACACAGCATAATTTTTACTAAATTTCACCCAAACATTATTGCGACGATGAAAATATCTCCGAGTAGTAACAATTAATGCCAGCACTATTTGACCTTTTTTAATATCAGAATTAGGCTTGGCTTTTTTCACGGTAGCTATTACTAAATCACCAATTCGACTATAGCGACGATTAGACCCCCCCAAACAACGAATTATTAACAACTTTTGAGCTCCTGAATTATCAGCAACCATTAAAATAGACTCATTTTGTAGCATGACAGTATTTATTTTTCTTTTCTAATTATCAGAAAACTTTTAGTTTTAGAGTACTTTCGACCACTATTTTTGATTTCCACTTTATCATCTACCTTCAAATCAAAACTTTCATTATGAACCTGGAAATTTTTTTTTCGTCTAATTGGCTTGTGATACTTAGGATGCAATTTAGTAAAGACTAATTCCACGGTAGCAGTCTTAGCACTTTTTAAACCAACTACTCTACCAATATATTTTTGGCTCATATATTATTTATTTTTAGTAAGCAGTCGAGCAATTTCTTTTTTTAATGCCTTTATTCGATGAGTTTCTATCAATTGACCCATCTTGTTTTTCATTTTTAAAATCATCAATGCTGAACGATACTTTGCTAATAACTCTTCCTTTGATATTTGTTGAGTTTTTTCTTTTACTTCCTTATTCATTTCTTTCGACAACTTTGTATTTGACTTTTGCTTCACCATGATTTTTAGGTAATTTGTAACTAGCTTGTTTCAAAACTTTGTAAGCAATAGCTTTTGGTAATCCTTGAACTTCGAAAATAATTGTTCCGGCTTTAACTACTGCTACTCAACTGTCCACCGAACCTTTTCCGGAGCCCATTCTTACTTCTAAAGGTTTTTTAGTTTTTCCCAAATGTGGAAAAATCCTAATCCACATCTTACCAGTTTTTTTGACAAATGGACTGATAACTTTCCGCCCAGCTTCAATTACTTTATTACTAATATAAGCCCCTTGCTGAGCTTGTAAACCAAACTCGCCAAAATTGACCTCTTGGTTTCCTTTGCCATGACCCTCATATTTTCAGGAATGGTTATAACGATATTTAGTTTTTTTAGGTATTAACATAATTCTTATTTCTTTTTTGTCAGATCTTTCCTCTGTAAATTCATACTTTAATACCAACTACTCCATAACTCATAACTGCTATTTTCTTTTTCAACTCAACGTTGCTATCTATTTCACTAAGAGGCATCCGTCCTCATGAATCTTTTTTTTTATTACCAATGTCTGAACCATCCAAGCGACCTTTAATTTGAATCTTTGCTCCTTTAATTTCGCTCTTTTCGAATGATAATTTACTTAACGTATTTCTTAATACCATCCCAGAAAAAAGCCGTTTTTTCAACTGATCAGCAATTAAATTTGCTACTGACTGAGCATGGGTATAAACTTTTTTGATTTCAATAAGATTTATTTTAACTGCTACC